TTCTTTAATTTTGATAAAATATGCTGTAACTAAGCTAAATAAAATCAAGAAATTATAACTCTTAAACGACTAAAATTTTTGTCATGAGGACCTATTACATTTTTAGGAAACTTCCGCTTGAAGACCTATTGAAAATGTACTTGGGGAAAAGAACATAGATTCAGAACATGAAAAAGATGAAGAACAATAAAAGAAAAGATACAAAGTATGATAAATCAAGGCTTGTTTTGTTTTCTTTCTATTTTTATTTTTAAAATCAGTACACTTGACTATTATATTACCTTCAACTAGCAAACTATTATCATAAGTCATCAATATTAATAACTGATGATCATTATTAGTATCTTTTTTAATTGTAAAATTATTTTTAAACTAACATAATAAACTAGATTTTAATTTTTTTTACCTTCAAAAATAATTTCAAAAATTGGTTTAAAATAATTTTTAAAAATAAAAAAATAAGAACAAAACCAAACTAGGAGCCCTAAATGCAGATTTTTTACTAGATCCTTTTTCCTTAAATATGTTTGTCAACAGCTCTTTGATTCCAATTTTCCATTTTTTAAGAAGAGAAATTCTAAATCATCACTTCCAATAATACTAATCCATTTCAAAATGATCAACGCTTTGGAGTTTTTATTTTATATTGTTTCAAAATGATAGTCTTTTTAGAATTTCAACATAATTTGAATTATGTTTGTACTATTTTACCTTTCGTCAACAAGTTCATAAGAAAAGAGGTCGAATATACAATAAAAAATTAAAATTTTTAATGAAATATAATTAATATTTATTATATCATAGCATTGACTATTTAATAACTTCATATTGGCTACACATTAGGGAGGAAGAAAGAAATAGGTCGAAAATCAAAAGCTAGTTTGCGTTTTAACGCGTAGGACAAATGGTTTGTTATTGTGTATGTGCATTCACTTTTTCTACAAGTCCAACTAATCCCAAACCTTTTTTATTTATAACACTTAGAATTCCTTCATTTGAGCAACGTGAAACTTTTATGCACACACATAAACGCAAAACTACAACTGATATAACATCAAAATAATAATACATTTGAAGAGAAATTCTAAATCATCACTACAACTAATCTCAACCTCTCTTTATAGACTTAAAGAGAAATTCTAAATCATCACTTCTAAATAATACTAATCCATTTCAAAATGATCAACACTTTGAATTTTTTTTTTGTTATATCTTTTTAGAATTTCAATATAATTTCAATTATGTTTGTACTATTTTACCTTTCAACATTAAGTTCATAAAAAAGAGTCGAATATACAATAAAAAATTGAAACTTTTAATCAAATATAATCAATGTTTCACTATATCATAGCATTCACTATTTAATACCTTCATATTGGTAGGGAGAAAGAAGTAGCTTAAAAGCTAAACTCCTGTCTTTTAATACTTTCATTTTATATACTTGGATTTTCTTTACTTGAGCAATGTGGGACTTTTTTTTGCTGCACATAGACACAAAACTACAACAAATATGACATCAAAATAACATTCATCATGATACCCATAAAGTAATGATAAAACTGGATGCCACTATCAGGTGATAATATATGATGTAAAAAATAAAAATATTAAACTCAGATATAATGTTTTCAATTTTCTATTAGCTACATTATATTATCCCCAAATATGTAATAATGTACTCAAAATAGAGTAATATTTAACAATGAGAATGATATAACTGTGGCTGCCTTCATGCCCATTAAGATCGTCACCTAAAGCATCACATGAATATAGGCCTCATTTAAGTATGGCATTGATTTCACTTTATAAAACATATAATAGTATGAAATTTAAAGATAAATTATAGGAAAAAATGACTTCATTTATTCACAAAATGGCTATTAAAATATATGCAAATTAAAGTATAAATTTAATGAAAAGTGAATGATAAATATATAAAGATATTTTAATGAAAATTTTATTTATCAAATTACCCATTTGTTTCAAGATTTTTTTGGTAATGAATATTAATGATGGTATCAATAACAATCGCTATCATTTAAATAAGTTTTAATTTTAAAATTATCTAAATTCTACGAAAATAAACTAGATTACAGTATAAATTGAATGAATTAAATCTATTTCTTATTAAAATTAAAATATTAGAATTATTTTATTTGATAAATAATTTGGCAACTCACAAACATAAAAAACAATATGAAAATTGAGAGTTATACATTACATGATTTAGATCCCTATGATAAACTCCATGTTAGGTATCAAAACTTCCTGACACAACTTACAACTTACAATTTTACATCCTTGTAAAGTGTTAAGGTGTCGGTCGGTAATCTGGTGCGGAGATGCTTTTTGACAAATTATGGAGAATCAAAAAAGTAAATATATGAAAACAAGTTACTATTAGGAAATCTTTCCATTTTTATCTAAATCGAAGAATCAAGATAAGTCAAATTAATTAAAAGGATTGACTCAAGCACGCTTGGTATCCATTATTATGGCGACTAAAAGATAGCGTGATCCAATATAAGTTTTTTTTTTTTGACCAATCACTCTATAAGTTATTTACAACACGAAATAATCACGCTTAATCCCAAGTTTAACCCAATTTAATTTGATTCCTAAACCAAGGTCTTTTTCATACTAACACGGATCTTTTTCAAGACACTATTTTTTTTTCCAATTATTTTGCCTCACTATTTTACTAAATACATAAAAAAAGACTTAAATATCGGTGGGATACTTTACAGAGATTTTTATTTATGCCTTTGGGAAAGAGATAGTTCCTTGTAAGATGATACAACTACTATATGAATCCTCGTTTTCACATATATTTCAATAAAAAGCAACGTATAAAAACAAGAAATGGTGATTAGTAAGATTGAGTGGATATGTGATTTTTCTTGTAAAATTGAGAATCTCCCACTCACTATTGCTAAATTTGGGTAGGGGTATTGTCAAAGGCCTTCAACACTGTTGGCAAATGGATTCGAGAAAGGTTAAGTTATTATTATTGTTATTACTGCTGCTGCTGCTATTATTATTTATTGTGTTCGAAGCTAACAGGTTGATTAGGTATCCCGTGTGACGTATCCATCCCTCCAGTGGACTTCATTATATTGATCTTGCTATGATCTTATTCAAAAGGAATTGGTTGACTTCTCTTCTATTTAGCTGCAAGGGAACCTATTTATAGTGTGCCACATTTGCTAGCCAGACTATCACCTGATTTACGTAATGATAATCAGGATCTTACAAGAATATTAATCAAAATTATATTTTTTGAATTAATGAAATTTCAATAACTGATTATAATCCTTATTTATAATAAATTATCTTTGTTAATTGGTTTGAGATTCAAAATAAGTTTTTTTTTTTTATAAATTTTCAACTAATGCTACAAAGATATCTAAGTATCTTTTAATTGATTTTAAAGCAATAGCAAAAAAAATTATAAGTGATGACTTATAATTTACAATTAACTCTTGTAAAATTGTAACTGACGTTACAAATAATCTCAAATATATTTTATAATTTTTAAGTAATTATCTATATATTGATAAGAAAAATTATGAATGATTAGCTTGTAATTATAACTGAATTTCATAAATTATCAACTAAATTACAAATAATCCCTGATATATTTTCTTGATTTTTCAAGTGAATTGTTATGAAAATTGAAACTTCACAACTACCTTTCATAAATTTTTAAATGACATTGCAAATAATCATAAGTTATATTTTATGATTTCCCAACTAACTATTAGTATTTTTCTAATTACAAATAAGGACCAAATTTGATATTAAAATTTTAATAATTCAATATCTATAAAATATAAATTATAAATTATAATTTTTATTAATATTCTTATAAAGTTCTAATATTATTTTTTCTTTTATATTTTTTATCATCCCCTCCTACCAGCAAAGAGTTGGCGGGATAATGACAAGAATTTAGCAACTACTACGTAATCTTTGTTTTTTTTGTGTTTGTAATATAGTTTTTTAGTTGTTGATTCAAAAAATGGGTGATAAGATTTTTATTACATACCACACTTCTTTGGTCTTTAATATAAGGTGCACTTAACCAACTATGCGCTTATTAATAAAATTGTAATTGTAATTATGTCCTTAAATTGTTATTGTTAAAAATTATGTAATTTTTCAATTTTACCCTTCTTTACAATTAATAATCATATTATTAATAATCAAACATAACAAATAAACAAAGATAACATTGAAAAAATAATTAATTAATCTAATGTCATCTTACATTAATTTTTTAAAATTTATCTTATATTAAGAAGTTTAAATAAATGAGGAAATGATGCTTAATCACTAGTTAAGGGATATGAATTTCTTGTTTGAAAATGGTGGAAGGTTACATACTATTAAAATGGTCTATAAGCATATTCCATCGTTAAACTTTGATTCAGCAATTCTAAAATTTTCACATAGATTGAGCCTTTTTAGATTTCAATTGAATATAATTGATTATAAAATAATTAATTAATATAATTAATTTTAATTATAATTAAGTATGTTATAACGCAATATATTTGAATACTGTTTTTTAAATTTTTTAATAAAATTAAAAATTTATATAATTTAGTTAAAATCAATTTTAACTATGCAAGTTACCATAAAAGACATTACTTTTTAAAGTTAAATTATTAATGAATTTGTATCTAATATTATTAAATTGGTTAAATTCTATTTAACACGAATTATTGACAAATTATTTATTATTAATACGGTAAAATGAGAATCAGGTAAGCAGATAGAAAACTTAACACAAAAATCGATTTTAAGCTATTTAATCAATTATCTCATATATGCCGTTTGGGTAATACATTGTTTTCTTTTTTTTTTTTTTTGGAAGTTCCACCGAATACCTGTGCTTACCCTTGTTTTTTTTTTTTTTTTTGAGGTAAAGAATAGCAGAACTCTAGTAGGCCGAAAGCCCCATATCCCTACTTTTTTTTTTTTTAGGCCCACCTCAAATCTCCAGTTTGCATAACCCATCTCTCCGATCACCACTCGGCGAACAACGGAGTTCCGTCGTCCCCAGCGAGCTTGTCTCCCTGCTATTACGTTCCAACGATAGATAGTGCACAGATAAGACGGAGGAGTGCGAGATTGAGAAATAAACAGATAATAGACAGACAGAGAAAGAGCTGCGGAGGAATAAGCACAAGAGCAAAGAAAGCAAAGATTGAAGGAGCTGTAAATCTGGAGGTGAAATCAGTTCCTTTCTTTTATCTCTGTTTGGTGAAGTTGATATCGTGAGACTAATCTGATGGTGAAAGATCTGTGCATGTGTGACTGATTTTCCCTCACTTGTGTTGGAGTGTGTTCTGTTAAAGACAATGAATCCCTCCTTCGGTAATTTATCCTGTGTTTGAATTCTAGTGGATGGTCGTTTTTCGTTTTCCTGAATTTGTTGAAGGTAGGTAAGTTTTGGAATTGTCTTTCCCTATGAATAATTGGCCTTCTCTGTCTTGTGTGTTGGCCTTTCAGCATTCATCTATGTATACCTTTGGCTCCATACTTTGTGCTTTCTAGTTATATTTCTATGTATTCCTCCACAGGTCTTAAAAATAGATCGTGCGTGTGTATTTATTTTGTTATTTACTTTAAATATATGGTATTTGACATTAATTATGATTCATGGTTCGACCGGTCTGGTTTTCATGACATTGATTCGATTGCTCATGAATTATTCCTGATATATACTTGTTAATGAATCATTCCCACATCAGTTTCACCTCTGGAACCCATTCTTTTTCTGTCCAACTTGTTCCATAATGTTAATATCAAGTTTTGGGAAATTTTATTTGACTTAGGAGTTAAAATGAAGAATCACAGAACCACATTCCTGAATCCAGCAAAATCCAATTTGAGGAGAGCGATAGTGAACAATCTTCTTCAAGTTCCTCAGAAGATGTGGTAACTGCAAATAATTTTAATTATGAACTCTATTATCAAACCAACTTTTATAGTGAAAAGCTGCTGTTTTGATGATATAGGAGGAGGAGATAAAGCAGGAGCTGGCTGATGTAACGTTTGAGGAGTTGCAGAAAGCACGGGCTAATGGGTCACATACAATTTTTCAAAAGACTAACGTGGAGAAAAAGTCCAAGAGATCCAACAAGAATAGGTATTGTAACAGAGTAGCGATGTAATTCTTATTTCTGATGTAGGAAAAGCTTCAAAGAACTAACTATTTTCTGTGCTTCACTAGGCCAATGGAGGTCAGTTGCAAGAAGCCCGTTCCTATTCTCAGAGATGGGTACAAGCTCCTAAGAAAGTAAGTTTGTTTATCAATCCAAGTGGTGCAAAGAATTGACTTGCCAGTATTCTAAGTTCTATACTTCTATTGATATTATTCTATGTTTTATACTTCTAGCGAAGAATTGACTTTGCTGTTTTCTTAAGTATTAATTGGGGTTTCTAGCTTGTATTTTTATACTTTTAGCTCTTGCAATTGCTAGAAGTTTGCAACATTAGTTGCAGGATCTTGTAAAAGAGGATGACTTATTTCGTCCTGTTGCTTATTGTTTTTCTTACAAGCAAAAAACACTTTACTCAGTTGAACTTACTTTGTTCACCAGCATTGGTATAAACTTAAGATATGACATATGAGTTACTTGAGGTGAGGTGTATTATATGGAAGTCTTTTATGTAAATACACTGTAGTCTTCAAATTTAGGGTTGTGAATATGATATGACAGAGATAGAAAGAGAAGAGAGGAAAAGAGAGAGAAGAAAAGAATGTAGAGAGAATTCAGAGAGATAGACAGAGAAGAGAATGAGAAACAGAGAAGGACTGAGTAGTGGTGATCATTATTATTAGAATGGCGTAGGATGCAAATGTGTCGCATAGTATTTATAGGCTTCTAATCCCCTAAAGATCCTAACGTCTATATTATTTAAAATCACTGACTAACAGTAACTAACTAACAATAACAGCAACTAGTATTTCAATATTAAAATTATATAACATTGGTATGATTATTATCTTCCATGCTATCTATCTGGAGTTTCTAGTTGTATCATGAATACCTTCAACTTTGTTCAGGTTGTACGAGATCCCTAGATTTGAATCTCTGTGTGGTAAACTCGACCCTGATGGGTAAGTTTCATCTCTGAATGTTTGTTACCCGGCTTTTCCTTTGTTTTATGCTGTCTTGTACACTTGGTTGATAGATCATTTACTTTTTATCATGCTATATAGTAACATTTATCAACAGACTTTCAGGGGGAAAAAAAAATTCCTCTTTAAGTTTCATCTTACATTCTTTGTTGATAATTGTTTTTGTACTAGAATGGATATTCTGAGTGTATTTTAACTAGGGTTACTGTCATCATGTATTGTTGTCTGGTCTTTTCACTATTGTTATGAAGCTAACATCAATATTATTTTTTTTTTCTCTGGTTGTATAGTATTCTGAGGCTTCTTGTTACCTTTCAAATTCATATGAACTGTACACCTAATACTGTTTGGTCTTTCTAGTTGGAAGGAAATGACGGACTGTTTTTTCAGTGATAAACCTTTTCCATAGGTTTATAAGGTGGATATGCAATTAACAAGCATTACTTAGGAGTTTTTCTTTCCTGTTATTCATGTTTTTTGAGTTCAACTATCTTAAAATTTATATTGTCACTGCCTATGTTTTCTCTACCATTCCAGCTTTTATATGAAGTCATGGTAATAGGATTAAAGGTCATTTTATCCTTAAACTATACATGAAAAGTCACATATTTTTTAAACTCAATTATGGGTCATTCTGCCCCTCAACGTTAAAGATTCCCTCCATCATCACCTTAACGTTAAAAACACTTAACGTCCATTAGTCATTATTAGGTCCCACCGTTTTTTTAATATTTTTTTATTAGGCTAAGGGTCATTTTTACCCCTTAACTTCTATTCGAAGGGTTATTTTTACCCTTCAATTCAAATATTTCATGATAAAAAATACTAAAAAATATAATGTGGGGCCCACTAGCGGTGAGAAAATGATAGGGTGATGAGGAAGGGAATATTTAAAGTTGAGCGACAAAATTGACACATAGTTGAGTTTAGGGGTATTTGTGATCTTTCATGTACAGTTCAGAGACAAAAATGACCTTAATGCTCATTAATATTAGGGTTAAAGGGCATTTTTGCCCCTCAATTATTTGCTCCGGAGTACCTAGTATCATAAACTACTGTGGTTCAATTTCCTCTTTCAACATTTGAAAATAGTGCACTGTACACATTGTCGTTAAAAAAAGTAACTTTAACCATTAATTGATTTAAAATGTGCATAAAAGGACTTCAAAATTTTAAAAAAAGACTTAAAAAAAATACGCATTAGTAACCTATAAAAATTAATATCATCAAATTCCTAAATAATGTGATAATTTATAACTCTTTCCTCCAAAATTTAAATTTATAGCTAGCGTAAAAATTGTGTTCATTTATAAAGAACACTATTTTAAATTTGGAGTAAGACTTATAATTATCATCCTAGTTTAGGGACTCAATCGATATTAATTTTTCTTATAGGATACCTATTTGTAATTTGGTGTCATTTTCTGCAATTTTTGAGGTCATTGTTCTGTAATTTTTTGGGTAATTGAAGGTCAAAGTTAACTTTTTTAATGGTAAAGTGCTCATGCACAATTTTCAAATATTGAAGGGGAAAATTGCATCACATGTAATTTTAGAATACTAGACACTCCTAAGCAAATAGTTGAGGGGAAAAATGCCCTTCAACCCTAAATATTACACATTATTTGGATGTTTAAGGTGTTGTAGCTTAAGACTTTTAGTTGCTAGCTAATGCATAATTTGATGGGTTTTACCTTCAGCAGTAATTAACTTTTGGCTGAGGCCTTCGT